TCGGTCAAACTATTTTATAATAAATGTGCCTGTGGACATAATTTCAGTCTTACTAGAATGTAAATACACTATCATCCTCTGTACAGCATCTTTAACCAAAAGTGTACACCTCAAAAGCAAAAAACATGACTGTAAAAACCTGTGAAAAATATTTGTGGCAGAGCCTACAAAAGGCAAGACTCCAAGTTTTCTTCTGCTCTCTTCCCCAGTGACAACTCAAATTCTTCCCTCCTGAATCACAGTGGCGGTGCCACAGCTACAAACCTCACAGGTGCAAGTGCTGGAAATGGCCTTGTGTGGCTCTCTACAACCTCCACCTCCAGTGTCTCCTCAGAACCTTGCTAGGGAAGGGCTTATTCCACTGAGCCATCTCCCTGGCCCCTCCTCAGAACTTTAAAAGAAAGAAAACAAAAACAAAAGCCAAACAAAAGCCTAGTTGTTTTAAGCTGGGCATGCACGTTGCCATGGATGCAGAGGAATGAACCCAAGGCTGCTTCCTCTCCAGGCTCCATGCTGGGCGTTCTCTTCTGGAAGGATACTAGTTTCAGATTTAAACCAAATGGATTCATGGAATTTCAAGTGGTGCAAAAATAACAAAATGTGATATCTATGAAATACTGATATTCTATCACCATTCGCCAAATGGGGGCTCCTGGACTCATTATAAATTAGCCAGGAGTTCACCCTGCACTTTTGGACCCTAACACATCTGGCTCAGAAGGACATCTTGTCCTGTTTTCTGCTGTTCTTTGCTTGCCTTGGCTACCTCATATACCAGGGGTTCACTTGACTATTCTTAATTTACTCCTTCAACAATCCTAAGGCCCAGCACTTCGCTGCTGAGTTGAGAAAGGTGTCACTTGTGAACTTATGTCTGCTGAAGGAGGAACCAAACGAACTCAGCTCCAAGACTCCAGGAAGCCTCTGCAGCATGGCTGGCCTCTTGGGGCTGGTAGCCGCATTGTTTAGGAAAGTCATTAACCTTCCCTGCATCAACACTGCATTCACCACACAGAAGCTTTTGTCACTTCTCCCACATTCCTTTAGAACACAGGCCTCCTTTCTCCCTGAGGACACCAGTCACTGGAACCAACCTCATGAGCAGCTTGGTGGCGGGTGGCACTGTCCTTTGTGTAAGGAAACAATGCTGCTCCCTGAGACCTTTCCTCCTGACTGGCAGGCCAGAATGCCCTCTTCTTGCCCCGAGGCAGTGTGACCAGGCCTGCAACTGGTAGTCTCACAGAGCAGAGCTAGGACCTTGCTGAATGGAGAACTGGGCTGGAGAGAGAGAAGGAACTCCTGAGTGACTGGGCCAGGGACAGGTGCCTGTGAACCCTCCAAGTTTCCTGCGCAATGCCTGGTTGGAAAAGACACCTTGGCTTGGGAGGCAAAGCACTATCCCCGTGGTGATAAACCTGGGCCCTGGGGCAGCCAAATCAGCAAGCCTCACCATTTGGTCAGAGGTCAAATGTGCTCTTAGCCACTGTGAGCTTTACTACCATGCTCAGGGCCCTCAGGTGGGGCTGAATGAGCAGCTGCTTGTCCATGCCTGGGCCTCACCAGTACCTTGTGCAGACCCATCCATTCTACAAGCCTGGCTCCAGTGGTTTCTTTCCAGAATTTTTCTTTCCTCTACATTTCCTCTACAGACATGACTTCAAAAGAGGAGGCAATGGGACAGGGGTTTATGCCAAAGGAGTAAGTCACTAACACCTACAATCTATGATATCTTCAGATTTGCCTGAGACCCATCTCCCACCCCATACCCACTTGATGGCTTGGCCCAGGACCTACATGCTCGACTCCATGGCTAGACAGCACTGAGTTGCAGTCTCCCTTGCTCCGTGGCCAAGGCACAGTGGTGTCTAGAAGTGGTAAAATAATGTACACTGCTGCTTCATCCTTCTCTGACTTCACTCCAAACCACCAGCCTATAGGGCTGAGGTAGCACAGCCCATGACGGCATATGTATCTGAAATCCCCAAAGCTCACCTACATGTTGTGATTCTTTTTCATGGTAGGTGGGATACAATGCAGTCATTTACATTTCAAGTGGTGGGAATGTATCTTCGTACTCCCTGAAACCTCTCCCAAGTGGAAGGCCCTACCAGGGTACTGTCATCAATACAGTAGACCACTGACAGCTTAGGCAACTGCTGAGAAGACCAAGATCTCTGGAGATGTTATTGCACAGAGCAGAGCCAGCTGGTCCCTGAATAACACATGAGGGCACACCACTAATCCAGATGAATAAAAGAAAACTGCTTGTAGAACACGCACACTGGTTTGGAGGAAAAGCACTAGATTAGTGGCTGTAGACCACTAGTGGGCTGTGCCGATTTTCTGCAGGAGGGGCACTTATCTGGTGTGACAGCAAGTCTCGCTTGGCTCTGCTGACAACAGCTCATAGTTGCACAGTCCCTGGGCCTGCAGCACAGGGCGAGAAGCCAGCTAAATAGGCCTGTGATCGTTTCACAACCCCAGTCATTTCAGCCCTTCAGTGGCAGCACTAAGCTCTGACGTTCTCCCAGGGATGCAGCACTGTTTCCTGATGAGGTGTTCTTCGGAGTTTTTTCTCGTTTTTTTTTTATCCTCCTGCTGATGAAAAAAAAAAAAAAAAGTATTTGGCCAATGGCCAAGCATGTTTCAATGATACCCTCAGAAGCTGAGGAGAAATTAAAAAACTGCAGAGAAGACCCTTGTACCAGCTGGGCCCACTGTGAGAATTGAGGAATTCTGTAGAGCTGAGATCTGACGGTCACAAATACCTACATGAACCAGCGATCCAAGACTCAGGTTGGGCACCGAGGAGTCAGTGCCGTCTAGGTACAGCGTCTTCTCATCCCTGAGAAATCCAGGTTGCTTCCCTTTCATTGTAAGTAGCTGCATTCACTTCAGAAGAGGTATGGAGGGGACTATGGTATGTCCTTCTGACAGTAGTTTGGCATCTTCTTCAGGAGAACTGGATTTCCTTCCAGGCCATACCTTCTGGGTCTGAATCCACTGAGATCCACAGAAATGGAGCGAAACCATGATTTTTTTTTCCCCCAGTGGGCACTCGTTGAGATTTCAGCTGTCAAAGGACATCTTTCTTGCATGAAGTAAAGACTATTCCAGGAGGCTATCCATTTAGGGCATGCCTGGGATGCTGTGACTGATCCATCACTGCCCCAGGTCTCCATGGGCCAAGGCATTCCAACCATGACTCTTTGCTCTCTATAGCCTATTTTCCAACCTGTCTCTGATAGACACATGTTACCATGTGGTCTCTGATACTGAGTCCCATCTATTTCAATGACAGCAATCCATATAGTCACTATAGGCTACAAAGCATGGAGCTCTTCCAGTGTGACAGCCAGTAGTGTTTCTCACTACTAGTTTACAGGCTGCTCTAGTGAGCAGCCCTCTGTGAAACACTGCTATGGGGAGGGGCAAATATGCAGACCATACAGGACCAAGCCACACACTTGCATCTGATGGGGTGAGACTAAAAATGGAGGTGACAAAGAGCCATGGTGATCTGGAGGTATAGAGGCCAAAGACGACCAGTCAGATAAAGCAGTATGGGAAATGTTCACAGGAAGGCTTAGTTATTTCTCCAAAATTGAACCATTGTCAAATGGTGGAGTTAAGATTCAAACTAGCTCTCAGATGCTCCCATGGGTACTTAAGGCTGTGTCCTTGAACACCACAACCCATGAGAGCCCCTCTCAGGCAGCAGCCGTCCTCCCCAGCCTGAGAGTCTGTGCACACTCCCAAGCCTGCCCAAGAGCCTGGCACAGTGGGTACAGCATCACCAGGCTCCCAGGAAGTGGTGGGAGTTGTGCTCACAGGGTGGCCTGCTTGGGTCCCCTAGCTGCACATCTTAGCCCTCAGGGAGCAGGCTGAAGTACACATATATACATCAAAGGGGACCCTGGGTCCAGGTTTCACACCCAGCACCTTTGTTCTGTTGTTCCTTCCTCAGACCCATGCAAGTTCTGTTCATCACAGAGCAAGTGTGTGTCCAACTCTTCACCAAACCTGTGAAGTAGGGAAGGAAGTAGGTGCCACACTGTGTGCTCATGTAGTCATGGGGCACATAGTGGGGTCCAAGCTGAGACAATCTCATGGCCCCATGCTATTTGCAAGGCACAGGCACTTCTGAAGACAGGCAGGACATGTCTTGGCTCACCTGTGGCTGGCTAGCCAAGGGCCCTGGTGAGGAGTACACACAAGGCATTTGAGTGTGACATTTCCAAATCATGTCCATCTTGGACAGCCTGTAAACTTCACTCAGGATGACAAGAGAAGCCAGTGCAGCAGGTATAGGTCTTCAATCAGGTTAAACAAGGGGGTTTCCATAAAAGCACCAAGAAACCAATGTAATGCCCCTCCTTTTTTTTTTTTTTGTGGAACGGGGGATTGAACTCAGGCCCTTGCACTTGCCGGGGAAGCGCTTACTCCACTGAGCCATCTCCCCGGCCCCTTAATGCCCATTTTTGTCCATGCAGACAGTGGGCTCAGCATCTTTGGGAGAAGCCCTGTGTGGCCAAAGACGAACCGCTTGCAATCCTAACAGTCATCAGGTGCCACACCGATCTGGAAGCTGGCAGCCAGGGGAGCAGCTATTGGGCTCTAGTCTGAAACCAGGCGCAGGCCACCCAATCTCCCACATTCAGTCTGCACTTGCAAGCTTCCAGTTCTTGGCTGTACATTTGCTATTAGAATCAGTCTTTAATTAATCCAGTCTTTCCCCACCCCCAGTGTTGGCTTTAGAGGAACATCAGTATTTATGTAATAAGTTTTTTAGAAAGGCATAAAAGCTGACTCCCCATTTCCTGCCCCTTTCTCTTTCTTGCCATGTGCAATCTGGCGGCCCAGCAAGTCCCCTGGGACACTGGTCAATGCAGCCCTGTGTGTAGATCTGGCTGCATTGCCACCTCCCCACCTCCCTGCCCTCCATCCCCATTGGCTGCCTCAGGCCGCAGTGGGCCTGTGCCAGGGTTCCCACCCAACCTCCCCAGGAGGAAGGAATAAAAGGCTGCCTCTGCCCATGCCCTGCCGCTCAAGACGCTGCAGCCCAAGACACCACCACTGAGGAAGTGATCAGGAGGAGGTGAGGGAGAACCTCTGTCTGAGGACACTAAGGAAAAAATGCTGTGGAGGTGGGGCAGGGGGACTCAGGGACTCTGGCTGGGAATTGAGCGGTAGTTTAAAAAGCCTCTTTGGAACCACTGGTGACATTGCAAAACTGCTATTGCTATTATGCATTTTTGGCCTAAGTTTATGGATGATGTTATTGCTGCTTTGTTGACACTTGACTTAAATTGGGATCAGAGAGTCACAGATGCACTTGCTGTTTTTATTTCCATAAATCAGAGAACCCCAGGTCTAGTGTGGCTCAGATATGATTGCTGACATTTTCCCACCAACGCTGCCTCTCCGCTACAGAGGGTAAAGATTTGCTTCCCTCTGCCCTCGTCAGGGCTGAGGGCTGAAGTTGGGCCTAATGCGAGATTAACTCCAACATTTACCCTTCTTCTCTTCCACAGCGCTGGGTAACTGTGTCCTGGTTTTCCAGTTTTCTTCTTTTTGAATTCCAGGGTCCTCACATCCCCAGAAATTACGTGACAGGTGTGAAAGTCTTCATAAATAATTATAAGTTATAAACTGGGTGGAAAAAGTGGCAATTTATGCTGGGGTTTACTTTTCTAAAGTCATACATTTCTCAGGAAGGAAAGCCCCTTCAATAGAGGGCCTCTTACATGATATGGAAAGTATCACTTCAAGAGGTTTAAGTCCAAGTGTTCTTTTGAATATAAAAAGACTGAAGGGAACATTCATGGAATGAAGTGAGAAGAAAACATGGGTATTAACTTCCATTTATCTTAAAAGATAACATGTAAACCACCAACCGTTTTCTTTTCCTTTCTTTCTCTTCTTTCTTTTTTCTTTCTTTCTTTCTTTCTTTCTTTCTTTCTTTCTTTCTTTCTTTCTTTCTTTCTTTCTTTCTTTTCTTTCTTCTTTCTTTCTTTCTTTGTACTGGGGATTGAATTTAGGACCTTGCACTTGCCAGGCAGGCACTTACTCTGCTGAACTATATCCCTGGTGCCCCATTTTTTAAATCAAAGGGAAGAATTTTGCAGGAAATCATTTTGAATTAATCTGTAGTGTGGTTACAAGGAAACCATATGTTATGGACTGTTGTAGCTTTTGGAATGTAGGATTCACACATGTTCTTTTTAAAAATTTGTGTGCTCTGTCTTCTTAAACATACCATTAGTCATAATTCATTGAAAAATAATCTTTCCATCTCCCAATTATCTAGACTTTTAAGAAACATGAGAATAATGCAAACATTTTTTGAGGTTTTTGTTTTGTTTCTTTAAAAAACCAATAGTTGGGCCAGCCAGATAGCTCAGTGGACTACCACACTTGCGTAGGCAGAGTGCAGCAGCTGGGGTTTGATCCCTCGTGTGCCAGGCCGGCCCTGCCCCAGGGCACAGTGAGACAGCGATTGAGACTGGGCATGGTGGCACCCCTTAATCCCAGTGCTGGGGGTGCTGAAAACAAGAGGATCACTACGAGTCTGATCTGTGTAGTGAGACCCTGTAGGCCCTGTACTAAAATATATTTTTAAAAAATCCAATAGTTGAAAACTTCAGTGCAAAGAATGAATATGAAATGTTAAAGATTTTACTCCATCTAAACAGTCCTACTTGTACATGACATATTAGAGTTTTAGGGACTCAAGAGAAAAACACAATACACTGATCAATAGGAAAAATGACAAAGTTCAAGCCGTGATAAAAATCCTCAATCCTGTTTCCTTTGGGAGAACAAAAATAAAATTATATGCATTGTATTAAAAATTATTTCAAGATGTGATAAATTAACTTGGGAATAATTTCAACATTTAGCTTTTAAATAAAAAACTGCGACAACACAAAAGTTCTTTTTTAATAATTAGAGCTCAGGGCCTAAAGTTGGCAAGCTTCTGGCAGCTTGCAAGCCACAAGTGTGCTGCCATCCTAGGGTGCAGCAGATACCCTGCAGCCCAGCATCAGGTGCACACGGTGGCAGACACAGGGAGTTTCTGTGCACTGTGCCCACCTTGGTAGATCAGCCACCACTCATGAACTAAGCAGGCATCATCAGGACTATTTCGCTGTATACTTCCCCTGTGTCAGACACTAGCTTCATCATGTAGCCTGCCTCTCTCTCTCTTGCTCTCGCTCTCTCATTCCTTTTTTAATTGTGGCAATTCTTATTTTTCCAGATGAATTTTATAGCTGCTTTTGTTATAGTCCTCACCCATCAAAAAATATCCTCATTTAAAATGTCTCAAGGGCCAGCGATATAGCTCAGCAGATTAAGTGCCTGCTTTGGCAAACACAGGGACTGGAGTTCGATCCCTGGTCCCCTATGCCACGCCAGCCCCGCTCCTGGGGGTGAGCTGAGCTGGCAACTGAGTCTGGGTATGGTGGCACATGCCTGCAATCCCAGTGCTGGGCAGGTCAAAAACAGAAAGATCACCATGAGTCTAAGCTGCATAGTGAGACCCTGTACCAAATACATAAAAAAATGAAAAATAAATAAAATGGCTCAAATTTATACATTAACTCAAAGATAAGTTCCTGCATATTTTGTTACTTAAATCTTTTGGAAAATCTGCGTATTTTTTTT